GTTGCTACTTCATAACTGTCATTTTGCTACTGTTATGAATCGTCATGTAAATATCTGATATGCAGGATATGTTTTCCTTGTTACAAATTGAACATCTTTAAAGCATAGTGATAAATCACAAAAACAAGATATAACTATATATTGTGAAATAATTGTTTCTAATGACAAATTGATGAAATTTTGTCTTGAAGCATGGTGTAGCATGGGTAACAGTCTGCACACCAGGTTCTTATATGTGGGCGTATCTGCATGTGGGCGGACCGCTGGAAGACAATAGAGGAGCGGTGTCTCGGTTCCTAAGACCATCGGAAATGTGTGTGTTTTGATGGTCTTAGGCGACCCGTGAAAGGGTCATTCAACCCCACAAAGGGGTCGCGACCCACAGGTTGAGAACCGCAGCCCAAGGTTCTTGTCTGTTTCAGCTTCTATTCCTAGGCTCCTTGCCAGCCATGGGCCTGTATCTTCCCTTCCATTTGTCCTGGTTGGTTGGATTGTCTAATTTGCTCTTTTATATCTTAAAAGAGAGGCTTAAAGCACACACTGTGCTAGTACTGCATCATTAACATAACAAAGTCCACCCATTCACAAGTGGGGTCATAAACACAGACAAAGAGGTTAGAATGTGTAACACATATTTGGAGAGACACCGTTGAATCCCTAACAGGGGCCTTGCTTATTTTCATGCCCAATAACCTTCATTCTAACATTTGTCACTTGTCACTGTCACCAAGCCACAAGGTACTTTATAAGTGGTATCACATTTAAGATTTCTGAGAACCCCCTCAAACAAGTTTAGAGAAAACTTGAACCCAGGTGTATTGCGTCTAAAGCCTGTGTTCCTGTCCTGCTGCGTGATCTCCATTAGTATTCTAAAACCAGCACCATGGGGGACCAGAGAGAGGAGTGGGCCTTGTGTCCTCCACTTGGAAAGCAGTATGAATCCAGCCTCAACTCCAGTGATCAAAGTGCGGAAAATGGAGGGAATCATCTGTGAAAGAGAGTTTTGACTTTGAAGGAAGTAGAATAAATGCTTATGGCACTGGAGGGAAACAGACTGAAGCAATCATAAATAGCACTGTGTGTGTGTGTGTGTGTGTGTGTGTGTGTGTGTGTGTGTGTGTGTGAAAACAGAATGAGAAACTCTGTCTATCCCATTTTCAGAAATTTTGGCATAATTTTCACTGAAGACAAAGCAGTTGAATAAAGCACATAATCTCTCAGATAAAATAAGGAGGATTTCTCGTGAATAAAGCCACAGTACAATGCTTCTAAAACCAGATGGAAGAATTATAGATTTCACCAAATTCTGAGGTAGGAGAGCTCCCAAAGCACAGATTCTGAAGTGGATGAAATCTTTTCTGCCACAGCTTTCTCCATGTTCACTACAGCTAGTGTCGGTGTGTTACTTCAGTGCAAAAACCTGGTTTGCCGGCCATTTCCTGTTCCTTATCTTAAAGCACACATGCCTTTCCAATTGTGGGGCTCAGATTTCATCCTCCCAGGTTGACTGAGAGCAACATCAAAGCTAAGAGCTAAAAAAGCAGATGGGTAGTATAAGCACATGCATAAGCAAAACACTTCTAGAAGCAACACTGAAGCGGCATGGAGAAGAATCGGTCACAATGAAGCTACTACTGCTGGAGAGGCAGACTTCAGGTGGCCTAACTCACCCTGTTGACCGACATGGCCATTTGAAAGGAGAGAGACTTGGCCTTGCAGTAGTTTGCTGACCCCCAGGGCTGGCAGGGCTCTGCTGAGACTGAGCATGGCCCTGGGCTTGCACTCTGCTGCCACCCCCCAAAAAATGGCCCCTTCCTGTCAAAGGACCAAGAGACATCCTGTGGCAGCCATTCCCAAGGCCTATAGATTAATGCACATTCTCCCCAGGGAGTGGGCTGAGAAGAGGAGGTCTTGGTAAATTGCTGATAACCCCCACTAGAGCTCTATCTGAGGCCCAGCTTGGAAAGGCCTGGGCTATTGTCCTTCGCAGTTCTCTCTGACTCCACGCTGTTGGCTTGGCAGACAGTATCCTTTGACCAGGACCCAATCATGGAGGCCGCACCCTGACTCCAGCACCCCGACTCCACCCTGATTCCAGTTGCGGTCAAAGCCACGCTGCCCTTTGAGGTGCAGTTACAGGCAGAGCCCCAGACATGCAACAGGCCTGGGGGCTGACAGAAGTCCCCAGGTGACAGCATCTCTCCTCCCCTAGCCCAGCATGACCAGAAATACTGAGCTACAATTTAAAAAATAGTCAAAGAGATTTCCAGTCATTTTTTTATGTAATGAAAATAAAGGAGACAGAAAATAAAATCATCAGGCAATTACATTGAAACCTATAAAGATTATTAATTTTTCTGCAGCACGAGGCAATCTGTAAATTAAAGACAAATGTCATCAAGAGACTCAAACAATTATTATAAAAGTATTGCCTCGAGATTTTTTTTAAGGCACTCGTTTCTCATTATATCCAGGAAGAACTATTTAGTATTTTCAAACTAAAACAGGAGCTATACATGGAAGCATACATTCTATATACAAAGGGGCCTCTGTTGGCACAAGGGTTAAGGCTTGGCTAACCAAAGGTTGAAACCCATCAGCCACTCTGTAGGCAAAAATTGTGACAGGCTGATTCCATGGGGATTTTTAAGGCTGGGAAAAGCTGCAGTCTGTCTTACAGGGTCGCTATGACTTGGAATCAGCCAGGTTTGGCTTGTGGGGTTATATACACAGGTAGACAGTTTCTCAACTATTTCTTGATCTTACCAAATTTAAGATTTAAGATCTTATATACAATATAAAATACGATGATTCAAAACACATTGAATTCATATATATGTTATATAAACAAATTTTAATAAGTATATTGCATAGAATATAGATGGATGAGTGGAAAGATAAACTTCTTAAAAGTCTGGAAAATTAGAAAATTGCCCACCTGAATTTCAAATCCAAATGTTCCATTATCCTGCTTTTCCACAATAATTAACTTTCTGTAATAATAAAAAATATATATATGATGATCAAAACTTATTTGGTAGATTTTATCATTAAAGACAACTGTCATAATTTAAAATAATGGCTATATATCTAAGTTGTATTCATAATTTGGAAATTTCTCACCCCTTCTCCCTCCCTTTCTCCTCCCCCTCCCCCATGTGTGTGTATGTGTGTGTGTGGGTGTGGGTGTGTTGTATGTGGCATCAATAGTCTGAAGAACTGTGTGCCAAAATATCTTGGTGTGAGATAATAAAAATTACCTTTGAGGCCAGGAAAAGTCACCTAACGAGCTGGATCTGGTCAAAGCAAGCTGAAAAATACAAAAAGCACAGTGATCAAAAAATCCTTAATATAGATCTACAAAATATGTAAGCCACAAAGGATTTTGTTCTCTATCACCTTTTCAGAAAGCCAGATTCTCAGAACGTGTTATAAAATGCCACAATTCCCATTCTCTAGAGCCATGATGGTTGCATGTTCAAAACTACCAGCAGCTCCAAGGGAGAAAGACGGCTTTCTACTCCCATAAGCAGTTTGTGTCTGGAAGGGTTGGCATTAACTGGATGGCAGTGAGTGAGTTTAGTAACATTAAAAGAGGAAGCCTGGTGACTGCCCTGTGGGATTCCTTAGACTGCTAACCACAAGTTGGGAAGTTTGAAACCATCAGCCACTCCTGGGAGAAAGATGAGGCTTTTTGCTCCTCATAAAGAGTTACAGCCTCAGAAACTCACAAGAGCAGTTCTACCAGGCCCTGTAAGGTTCCCACGAGTCAGAATTGACTTGAGGTCAGGAAGTTTGGATTTTGGGTTTTGGATTTAGTTTTAGCAATAGCAACAAAATCTGGATCCACTGCCATCAACTCAATTTCAGGCTGTAGTGACCCTGTAGAGGCTTTCTGAGGCTGCAATGCTTTACAGGAGCAGACAGTGAGCGGCAGTCTAATGCTTACCACCAGGGCTCCCTCGGTTGGGCAAACAGTTAACCTGTTACTAGCCTCAACGTTGGCACTTCTGCCCACCAAGAGCTAGCTCTAAAGAACTGCCTATTGACCCATTTCCTGGGAAACCACGTGAAGTGGGTACACTCTGCGTACACAAGTCAGAGTAGACTCGTCGTCGATAACCAGTGATGGCAACAGAGGGCTGGGAGAGGGACTGCCGATATCCCTCTTTGGAAAGTAAAAGAGGGTCCAATAAAAATAGTACCCCATGACAAGAGTTAGTATAATGTGAGAAAAGTTACCCCAAGGCTCCCCAAAGAGCATCATACTTGAACTGTATTTAAAATAACTTCAGAAAGAGGAGGTCCTGGTGGTGCAGTGGTTATCGCACTCAGCTGCTAACCAGGAGATCACAGTTTTGATTCAGCAGCTTCCCTGAAGACTGAGGCAGTAGGCTGCTGTCATGAGGTTTTACAGGCGTGGGAGCCCTCTGTCCTAAAGAGTGCCCCTGGGTCACAGATGACTCCATGGCTTTATGTTTTGTGTTTGGATCTGAAAGATGAACGATAACAATTGCAGTCCCATTGAAAACCAAAGAAAAGTAACACCCAAAGTACAGCAGGTAAAACCCGTATGTTTGATGGCTCTTAGAAACGTTGAGAAGACGGTTGTATTTATTGTAGTGGTTCAATGTGTGTTCTATTCTAAGCAGGATCAAATACTCTCTAGAGGAGCAACACTTGCACAGAGACAAGGCTGATGGAACCAGAGCCTCGAGACCTAGATTCTGTTTCTGACCTAATTTTGCAACAATTTGGGTTCAATGTAGTGAGGTTTCCAGCCAAGAAATGGAAACCGCAGACTTATGTAAATGGTCTAAATTGTTTATTAATATCACCTTCCTTCCTGTGCAGGTTTAGGGAAAAGACCATTTAAAGCAAACTTCCAGAATACATTCCACTATTATAAAAGAAGAACTGTCAACGAAAAGTGGCACATCCAGAGATTGCAGTTGGGCTTTGCTTGTTTTGAGTTTTGTTTGTCTAGGAATTAATGAATATTAATCCTCCTTTCCTCTAGTGTTGATACCAGGGTCCATATGTAAGCTTGTGCTCCTCGCCATTAACTGTCAAACTCACGTGGTTATATGACACCGATGAATACACGAAATACATTAGAACAGCGCAGTCTAATGCACCACGCTGTGGTCGACTCCACTCTGACTCTGATCGAGTCTGTAAGACAGACAGGGCACTGACTGCTCCACGGGGATTCTGAGGCTGACTGCCACAGCTTTCTCCCAAGGAGCAGCTGATGGGGTCAAACCGCCGACCTATGGGTCAGCTGCTCACGTTGACCCATTGCACAACCAGTGCTCCTTCAGAGTCAGTCCGCATGGATAAAACTAAAGCAATTGCAGGATGGAAAATTGACAGAATGGCACAGAGAAGAAATGAATAGGAATGTGACAAGTTACAAAACGAAATGCTAACGCAGGTAGTCCTTGGGAGTGAAACCAAAGCCCCTTCAGGTTTGAATTAAAATGCAATGCCATCAAGTCGATTCCAACTGACACTGAACCTATAAAGGGTTTCTGAGGCTGTGAGGATTCACAAAAGCACACAGTCTCGTCTTTTCCCATCAGAGGGGCTGGGGGATTTGAACCAGTACTTGTGGTTAGCCATCTTATGCATACCAAGTCATAGCTCAGTGTTCAGAATTCAACTGGCAGTTAGTGAAGTTAATGTAATGAAGAAGTGATCTCTTCCCTCTCGTGTATGTGAACGAATCACATTTCCGTTCTTATGAGGTTCCATCCTTACATGACCCTCACAACTGAAATAGGAAGACTCGGAAGTGCAAAGAGTATCGTGCTAAATATTGTCATTTTCAACTTACAATGGCTAACTGTACGGCTGAGATAGCATGATTACTTGATTATGTACCTGATATATATTGCTTACAGGAATGGGGGACCATTCTGTTATGTGATTAGTTGCCTTTTATGGAAGTAAACAATAAATATGATATCCCCAAGCATTCTAAATCTCTTCCATACATTGCACTTACATTTGTTAACATATTTTCATACTATTCACCTGCTCTATCTTCTATCCTTAATTCAAGTGGCGAAGTACTTAGGCAAATCACGTCTAATTATAGACAGCAACACGAGAAAAAAATTAGCAAACTGTACTTGGGAAAACAACTTGGGTAGGAGGGTGGGTGTAGTTGGCAATAAAAGCATATAACACATGCATTACCTGCGAGCAATGTGGTATATGTGTATGAGTGTGGATTTACACAAACTCACAGTCTTACACGTGGAGGATATAAACAAGTCCTTATGTGTATTATTGCAATATATAGTTCTCTTATTTGATAATGTACACCACTGTTACTTATCACAGCAAAATAAGGAAGGACCCAATTGGCTTGGGGAGACGAGTACTTGTCGGCAGAAAATTCATTTCTGAGTTCTGAAAGCAGCTTCTATATATAAATGTCCCTAATATTTCTGAATTAAGCATTATGAACATGTCTAAATTACATGCTAGGATAGATCTCAATCCTTTTGAATCTGACATAAGAGCTGGGATTTGAAATAACTTATTTAGGTCTACATAAGAGGCCTGGCTGGGAAATAAAATTATAAATTTTCATCTCTTCATTCCCCCATATTTAAGGAAAGTATATTTTATCTTGCTAAAGAAGGTAAGGAGAAAAGTAGATCATGGTGTGAATAAATTTGGAGTAGACCATGTGATTTGAAAATAATTTTTCACTCATCCCTCATGATGTTGACCTAGCATGCTCCAAATGATCATTTTTGAAATTTGTATTTAGAGTATGACAGATCAAATACCTCACTTCTGTCTATAATTATTTGTATGCTTTGGGGATCGTCCAAACCCCTTCGAGGTAATTCTGATTCTCTTAAAGGAGAGAGAGAACTACCCGAAAAGGTTTCCAAAGTCTTAAATCTTGACCGAGCAAACTGCCACATATCTCCTACGGAGAGGGATGGTTCAAAGAGCGAACGTGCTGGCCAGCAGCTGAGCACGTAATCACTGAGTCACCAGTGTTCCTTTTGGGGGCTTTTATAAAGACTCCATTGCCACAATGCTTGGAGTACAGTGAATGCTTAAAATCCGAGAAATAGACAAATCCTAGATAGCAACAAGCCAAGTACATGGGAATTGGAGATCGAAGGTAAGGTAGTCTAAAGAAGTCTTACATTGTATAGGGGGAATGTGTTCACATACACTTCAACTTTATCCTTTGTTGCACTAAGTATTCTTGGGGGGAAAACAAGACTATTATTAAGAAAATATAAATATGCTACTTAAATCCCCAATATTTCACAAGATGTAAATATAGAGAGAAAACAAAACAACAAAAAATCCTAATTCAAAAAATAACAAGAAGCATAAAGAATGAAGGAGTACTATATATGAAACTCAGGATATGGAAAGCAATAGAGAGTAACTAGATACGGAGTTTCCTAAGAGTCCTGGTGGTATAGCGGTTATGCCTGGGATTGTTAACCACAGGGTCAGAAGTTTGAAACCATCAGTGTCTCCGAGGGAGAAATATGAGGCTTTCTACGCCTATAAAGAGTTATAGTCTTGGAAACCTAGAGCAACAGTTCTATCCTGTCCCACAATGAGTTCAGAGTTCAGGATCATGGCACGGGAGGTAAGCAGAAAACCAAGAGCTAACAACAAAACATACAAAGAAGAACAAATGTCTTAAAATTGATTGTAAGCATAACCCCACAAGTCTTTTTAATATGACTGAACTGTTGAAATACATGACATATGAATTATATGTCAATAAAACTGTTTAAGAAGAATAAAGGAGTAATAGAACAGCGAGATAGCAATGCCTTTATATGTAATTGCTAAATGAATGGAGGGAAAAATTAATCCATTGTTAAAATTTCAAGATATCATTTGGCAATTTTAAATGTCCTTTTGCTAGACAAATAATCATAGAAAGATTTCCACTGGTGTACCTGCATGCTGCTCTCTAAACCAAAAGTCATTCTGGACAGGCTCAGATATAAAATCTTTTCAATCTACAAGATAGATCCCTAAACATCTATAGAAAGGTAATTTCTCTCATCTCACTTATCTAGCTAATTCAGTAGCTGAAAATATCTGTGAAGCACACATAATACGCATAGCACTTTCTATTCCTGTGGAGTAACTGATTTGGTTTATCTGAAATACACATACACACACACAAAATAAGACAAAGGCAAATTTTAAAAGCACTTTCCATTCTTGAGAATCTAGCCTTAACTTAAAAATAATTTAAATAAATTGAATGCCATGAAATTCTCCAACACTTGGTGTGTCTTGACC